GGGGTTGATCCCACCCTTTTCCTAACTCCATCAAAGAAGGCTTCACCATCTGCCTCACAAGATCTCAGCCTTGCAATAACAACAAATGGCAGCATCTCCCTCCTTACTGGGTTTAAAGAGAAGGAGAAGCTCATAAATCGAAAGTGTCAAGGCTCTGTCACCAGTATTCATGAACAGAATGGATTTAAAAAATCAGCAAGTTTATATTACCCTGGATAATACTACTACTACAGTTAAAAACATTCCCTGTAAATGTGATCCTTAAGGAGAATCACATTTGTATTGCATTTTCAAAAAAGCACATTTTACAGTTTACCTGAACAATATATTTTCTTCCAGCTGACAGCATGAGTAATTTCATTGCACTCAATAAAATTCACTGTTTGAAAAGTTTGTCAGTCTTCTTGCTTTAGAGTAAGATCTACACATTCTCCACGCAAAATGTAACTTTCAAGAAACAAAGATTTTTCTTCTAGTATTGGGAAGAAGTGTTTTTATAGGGCTTCTGGTGCCAAAGAAAATTTATGAACTCCTGCAGAAAGGTGAGAGGATATGGGTTATTTCTGAGGTGATAAAAAACATTTTATTGCCTATTCTTTTACATTAGATGCTGTTAACTTTTACCCCATGCCACAGAAGTTGACAAGGCAGAAGAAAATTCTATGTTTTGCTGTGTATAGTGTGTATTTTCTGCCTCTTAAAAACACCAAAGATAGGAAACCCACACGTGTCCATTTCAAAAGAAACTGTGTAAGTATTCTCTGCTTTCTGGCTACCAGCCAGGCTATGAAAGTGAGCTACAGCCAGCAAAAATGAACAGGACTGACCAATTCTTTTTTTCTTCAGTTGTGCTCCTGAGAGTGAGGAGAGATTTTACATGTGAAGTTATGCTATAACTATTTCAGGCCTTTCAAAGAGTTAAGGAATACTTCCAAGTTTTGAAGTAAATATAATCCAAGGCTCTGCAATTGGACTCTATTTGCTCCAATGCTGGGGAAAAAAGACAAAATTTTGAGCAAATTTTACTGTGTTAGCAAAGAAATTTAGTAAACGCAGTATTTTTTTTTTTTTAATTTATTCTACCCATCTACCTATTCAACAATCCATCCGCCGCCCCCCCCCACTCCTTTTGATCTCTTTTCAAGGGCAGTTCTGCCTGTCAAGGCAGGAAGAGTTTGTCACTTTGGACAAGACAGGCATCAAAAAAAGAGAGTCCTTTCGCAATTCTTGACTTGGTATCAACATTAAGAAAATACTTAATTTCAAGGAGAGAGCGGAAAAGGAGAAAAACAGGAAGCCTGTAGCTCTAAAGTATTCTACAAGATAAAACCAGATTGGTTCCAATGAAAACTTTAGCACCACAAAGGGCTTTCACATTTTGTTGCACATTGTTATAAAACACACAAGTCAAAATATTTGGCATATGGATTAGCTGAAGGCAACATTTTTATTAAGGCAATGAAGAAAATTATCCTCCTAGTGTCCTCTGACACTAAAACTTCCTGTCATGCAGAATTGCCAACTTTTTTAAGCTTACAAAATTTGAGAAAAAATTGGTGTGCATTTCAAAATGTGACACCGCCAAAAAGAAAACAAAAAGCCAGCACAGAACAAATACACAGCAGCTGGCAAGCAAAATGTATTAAAAATCTCAATAACCAACTGTTAGTGATAATGTCTGAACAAGCCAACTGCATTTCACTTTCTTAAATGTTTTATATTTTACCTTTCTTCACAGTTTCCTTCTGCCAGCTTATGTAAAACAAATCATTAGCAGCACCGACAAAAGCACTCAAGTCATATTGCATTACGCAGTTATCTGTCATTACATATACAGGCAGATACCCGCACTCGCATTTCTGTGCTCTCTGATGTAAATGTCCAACTATCTATCTGATCAATAGAGCCACAGTTTTACTGATCTTCTGCTTCAGAACAATAGCAGCAAAGTATTGTTGAAGGTAAAAAGGCTACAGGCTTTGTTTTCTAGCTAGGAGGAGGACACTGAGCAAGAGTTTCTTAATAAATGTTGTTACATGCTGTTTCAGATGAGAAATTTTACTACAGACAGAGAAGAAACAAAGCAGTTTGAATATGGCTTGCATGGTTAAAAGAAACAGAGATGAGAAAAAGTTTCCAGATTTCCTGATTTCTATTAGCATCAACCTATATTGAAGGCTCCCGATAATAAGTTTGCTTGGATGGAAGCTGTAGTGATCTGGTGCCCACCCAAAGCACCTGTAATGAGGGAGGAGGGTCCCAACCTTGGGAAGAAGAAGGGGTTTAACCCAGAACTTCTGCAGACATATCTTAAATGCACATGTGATTTTATGGGTTTGATAACAACCAGCAGTTTGCTTCCTATAGCAAGAGGTAGGTGCTTTTAATTTGGCTTAGATTATGATGTTGGTGGGACAGCAATCACCCATTTCCTACTCTGCTTTCTAATCTATGTAATCCACTAAAGCAACACTGGATGGAAATTGCCTTCCTTCACTTACTTTCTGCTTCAAAACAGCTCTACAAATCCAGTTTTTGAATTGCGTCTAATCCAGAACCGCTTATTGCAGTGGACTCTGGTGCAGAGATTCACTGACCTGGAAGTGAATCACCTTTCTGTACACGGTCCTTCACTGTGTTTTTCTCATCTCAATATATTCAACTGATAAAAGATCAGTTCTGGAAAAGCTTTACTTTCTTTATACGAAAAGAGGAAAGACTGCCATAAGAGTATCTCAGGTGGAGCAGCAGGTCAGCAGACAAAACTGTAAATTGTGTAGATTTAATCCGCACGTGTTAGTTGCAACAAAAGGTCAGTTTTGGCCCAAAGTATCTGCTGCTTTGTGGGATCACCACACAGCTGGGCAGAATAACATCTCTTCTTCCCAGCACTTCACGATGCAACAGCAGAGGGTGTTGCAGATCAGGTCTAAGGTGCCCTGAGGAGAATGATGTAGGATTTGTTACACAGCACGTGGATTTTTTTTTTTTTTTCTTTCTGGCTGATTCTGTTAAGGTTTTTGTAAGCATTAGCACCAACTCAGAAATAACCTGAAAATAATTATGATTGGAAAAAAACCCCAAATACATGCATGTATGAAAACAGGAGGAGAGAGTTAACACAAGGAAACTGTTTCCTTTCTATTCTTCCTTGTCAATAAGTGAATCGGAAAAATAAAACAGAAGTTTAATCCGCATAGGGAATACTGAAGGAAGGAGATGAATCTTCACACATGACACAAGACCAGTCTTACACATGAAATCCCAGAGGAAATCACTGTCCTGAAATAGGGGATCAAGTCTCCCCCAGATACTGGAATATACACAGTGAAGAGAAAGATTATCCAGCACTTAACGGTTCTGGGAGATTGCTTATTTCACACCTGACGATTTCTAGGGCACCCTGATGAAAATCGAGACCCTACATGCTGTTTGTTAGCTTCCCCCAATGGTGCTGAATAGATGAAAATCTATGGTGCACAGAACAGCTGAGGAAGTCCTATAGATTCCCAAAGAAAAGTCTGCTCATTGCAAAGAGCATGCTTCTATTGATCCCCTGCCTCCCTCTCATCTAACATCCCCGTGGGAAAACCTTGGAGACTGAATTCTGCAAACCGTTAGGAAGATTTCCACACACTACAAACGTAGGTCTTTTTATTTTTTAATTTACAAAGAAAAAGAGATATAACTGATCCAAAACTGGGCATTGCTCTCATGTCAACACCACACCATGCTCTCCTTATGTCTGTTATTGAGCAAAACAGCTCTATGGCTGATTATAATACCACAAAAAAGTAACACTCACACCTTCTAAATAGGTGCCTTAACTGCTTTATTGCAAGCAGATAATGACCCACTGAAATCATGTTCAGAGGAGGAATGCCACACTTTCCCTGTAATATCTGTATCATTGCTAAACACAAGACGTTCAAAAATGCATCCTAGAAGCAGGGACTGGTGGACAGTCACCCATAATTCCTGGTTATGGACAGAAACCCATAATTTCTCAAAGTGACTGATTACTGTGATAGCTGCCGTCAGTCAAAAGCCAGCCATCAGCCGCATGCATTACAAACAAAATTCCATCTTTGATCCATGTTTTGGTATAAAACACACATTTCAGTGGCTGTAGGCATTTCACACCGACATGAATGCAACTGAGTCACCAAGCCAGAAGGGAAGTTTTACCCCTCCCTGGTTCATACGATGTTGATGGCCCAGCCAAATGTAAGCAGGAAATCAGTTCTGCCGGAATGACATGCACAGCCCCACAGAAGCATCGTATGTCTTGGTTTAGGCATAGGATACAAGACTGTCTTCTAAAGAAGTTAGCAATAAATAAGAGTTGGGAGGGATGGACTGACGCAGAGAAGAGAGAACCCTTTCAGACTGACTGCGGGGTGCAAATTAAGAGGTAGATTAAGTGCTCTCTGTTTTCATGTCTCTACTCAAGTCTCCTAAGCCTTTTTCCTCAGCATGCTTTGTACTTAAAGTGCTGTAAATACGTGTTCTTACTTGTACTTTACCTAAACTCAGTTTAACTGGAGGTTCATTTCATTTCAACTCTTAGTCAAGGTTGAGGGAAAATAAATATCCTGGTACTGGAGAATCTCCAAAGCATCCAGCTCCCCAAACCATTTCTTGCAGGTTTACTTAGGTAGATATTGCTGGCACCGTTTTGAGAATATTTTGACAGTATTATTTGAGAGCTGAGTATGACAGAATTAAAAGAAGAACAAGCCACTCCAGTGGTAAAGGGGAAGCTTTCTGGCATGTGGCAAGATCACTGGAGCACCAAGTGCTTGCCCAGGAGTGAAAACCATGCAGTAACATTAAGAATAAAAGAAGAATATGTACCCTTCCCCATCAATCAAATCTGCTCCCTAAAAGGGAGATAAATCTCTTCATTGACTAAACAAGACATAAACACATAGCTTTCAGCAGCCATGCAGATTTTGCCAAAGTTTCTGTAAGAATAGCTTTTTAATGAAAAAAGTTACCTGGGTTTTTGTAGATGCTAAGCACATCCTTGAAATAATGAGGTAAGAATCTTTCTAATAAAAGCAGCACATCCTCCAACTCCTCCAGAATGCCCACAAGCAGAAAATTTTCATTAACGTTCAGCTTTGCTCTTTCAAGGGCCCATTCACCAGGCTCCCTGTATTCTCGCTAAAAAAAAAGGGGGGGGGGGGGGGAGAGGGAAGAAGTTAAATATGCATTTACTTCAGAAATTCAAGCCAAGAACACAACTGAATCAAAAAATATTCAGTGCTGTACTTCTAACAGAACATACAAAAACCCCCACCAAACCTGAAAGGCTTACTGAGCTTTGCTGCACAACATCTAGAATTGGTTTGGCATGTAAAAACACGATCACATTAAAAGGAGGTTAATCACTGCGTGGAAGCACTCTGTTCTGAAGACATCTGTCACCGGGTTGTTTATAAGCTCAAACTTGTGAACTCCTGTATTTCAACTCAGAAGCACAACCCATGTCACGGGAGGAACAACTTCCCTGGGTGATGAAGGGTGCTAAGGGGTGGCGGTGTCCCTGAACCTGTCCCTGAGAACTGCTGCGAGCAACCACTGCCTGCTGTTACCTAGTGAATACCACACAGGAGGCTACCGGCCTGTTTCCCACCTTGTCCTTCATTTTAACTTCTGCCAAAGTCTCCATGAGCTTCCCTTTCCCTGCCATTACCCCTGACTGCCCTGTGTCTCTGCTACAGGATTCGCATTTGTTTGCTCTGACTGATACTGGTTTTGAAGATCAGTTTAGGGTTATTCTATCTTTCCCCCCAGTGGGAAAAGCTGGCAGGACACCAGTACACCTTTATGTTTCTCTCGTAGTTTCATGGAAGCACAATTAGGTTTGACAAGCGTATGAATCCTAAGTCCCTTAGATGAACTCATATTAATTTATGTCCTGGGAGCAGCAGTCGGCATTCATATTGATAAGGGATATAATGCCAGTGTCCCAAACTAAAGGAAATTAGCTTTCTCCCAGGGTCCAGCTGGTATGATGAACATCTGAGTCACACAGGCTACCTGAGAGGGGCTGGAGATCACACCTCTTCCTTGACTTCCATTAGGCTATTGCAAATTCTATGCGATAGTGAACTTCCAATACTTATCAGAAGCTCTTCCCATGACATGCAGAAAGGCTTACTGCTTTACACTCCCACTAGAGCAGACTTGGAGCAGGTTTTTCACTCCCTACCACCTTCCTTGAATAGGTCCATTTTCTGCAAAAGCAGAGTGTCCTTACAAATACTACGAGCTTCCTTCTTGCAGCTCCTTGTGAGACTAGGAAGTAGCTGAAGGAAGTGCAATGGCATGATAGGAGACACATCTATAACAAGCTACGAAACAGTACTGCAGTACACTGCTCAGAAACCCCATAGAGGTATGTTGTGAAAGCCTTCAGACATGTCACTGTTGTTAATAAGTGTGCAAACATAAGCATTTGCAAATGAGGCCAAAATACATTATGAAAAAAAAGTGTAATGAAAATGAAGTCATGAATCTCCTTTGTTTCTTAATCATACCCTCGCTTATGTCAAAAAACTAAAGCAGGATTTTACAGCAAAGACACTTAGAAACTGAGACATAAGAATGAACACATTTTCACTTGTTACTACTGCTACAAAAAGTATGGCTTTTGAAAGAAATTTTTGAGAACATGTGCAGTTGTTCCACTATGGAGAAGCAGTAACAATAAATAAATAGAATACCTTGTAGTTGAACAAACCTAATAAAGAACATGCTGTGACCAACAATATAAAAGTATTTGAAAACAAGAAGGTATTTAAAATTATTCACATATTATTGCATAAAAGTTTACTATGCAGTATCAATAATACAGCAATATGAGAATGGCATAAATAGACACATTAAAAATGAACTAGCTCAATTACAGCAGTAGAAGGCTGCACTTCACATAGTTTTAAGCATGATTACTATTTCTTACACAGATATAAAAACATGGAATTCCTCAGATATAGACCTGATACAAACACCTGAGCAGAGCTAAAACATGTATTACAAAATTACAGTGCAGGTAAAATGAGTAATGAGCACATATGGTCACTGCCATTCTCACCTTGCCAACCCAGAAGAGAAAAATCCACGTAAATACATCCAGATTTGATGAATTATTCAAGTATTAAATCAAGAAAAAAGAATAGTACTACATTTGCATTATCCCCCCCTTACTCCAAAATATATGCATGCAGTTACCACATACAGCGCTACATTGCACTTACCCTTTTCTCTTGTATTTCAAATAACTGTTGCCTCTTTATTACCAGTTCCTGACAAAATGTTGGCAATAGCTATTGCTGAACAAATTGGGATACCTTGTATATATTTACCTGCATCTTGGATGCTGTCCACAGAAATATGGTATGATGTAAAATAACCTGGGATTGGAACATTCAGGGTAGTTTTCAAGGATACATACATTAATGTCCTGGGGGGGAGGAAAGGAAAAAAAAAAAAAAAAACCAAAGAGGTTGAATACTGCATTTTCCTTTCTCTATTAACAAGTGTTTTCTTCATCTCATACTTTATACAGCCATCTCAGAGTCAAAGGATCGTGCTGGGGCTATAGCAAATACCTTAAAAGTCATCTACTGGTCAAATTATCTACTTCTAAATATCATTAGAAAGTTTCAGGAGGGAAAAAAAAAAGTGATTTTGTTCTAGAATGCAAAAAAACACATTTTTTTTTCTTGCTGCAAATAACACAATTACTATATTGAGATTATTGCATGATTCAAAGCGGGACACATGGATCAACTTTCATATTGAGTTATATTTAAAATATTCAGGAGATTATTTTCAGACTCTTCTTTCTTCTAAATACACCCTGGGGGACACCTGAAATAGCCAGAATAAATCAAATTGAGACAACAATTATTATTTTTTTTATTCTGCTTCATTCAATGACTGGAATGAACAACTGTAAGCTGTAATTTCCACAGCTTATTCTTGATATAAAAACATAGATCACTTTTGATGACAATTCTGTACATTCCTCAGATGTTCAGAATTGAGCCTATTGTGTAAACCCTCACTGAGAAAAGGGCTTATTAGAAAGGATTTATCATTTTCCTGATTTATTGTTCATCTAATTAGGAGCTGTTTATAATTTTTCAAAGACTAGGCATAGCTACTGAACCCTGAGGAACTGTATTCCATTTCTAGCTTTACTCTGGCACAATAATAAACGTACCTGCAAGCAGGACTGAATTCCACTATCCTTATCTAGTCTAATAGACCCTTACTCTGCAAGCAGACCCACTGACTCCAGAGACACATACAGGGCAAAAAAAAAAAGGTGCAAGACCACATAAGCAAAGATGAAAGGATCTCATCTTTGCAAAACCAATCTTCATTCTTATTTAAAGATGCATGCTTTTACAATGCAACAGGCTTGATACACATCAATATCAAAACAATGACTAATCAAATCCATACTTCATCAAGTAAATAAAATGTGATAGAGAACACTTCAGTGGGCAACACGTCCTCTGCAAGACAGAAGTGCTTGGCAGCGTGGGAGACATGGAGAGCATCCCCTGCTCTCCTGGGGCAGCGTGGGGTACAGGTCTCCAGCCGCAGCATCCGCTCCTGAGACCTCAGCACAGAAAAGCTCTTCCCAGAACTTCAGCCCTCACGCCTAACTTCACTAGTGTCACATTTGGGTCCGTAAGCCTTTTAAAGTACATTCCTATTTCCTCCTCTGTTTTGCACTTATGTAAATCAGATTTTGTAAGCACATCAGAAGATCCTGGGCTGGGAAGTAAATCACATGGTGAGGAACCATCAAAGAAAACAACATAAAAATTGCCAGCTGGGATACAAACAACCCATCTCCCCTGCTCCCCCAGTGTATTCAAGCATATTGAGAAGGGCTTGCCTTAAATATGTACCATAAGATTTATGGTCAAGACCTGAATTTTTACATTCAAGGCTCTGAGCTAAAGCTAACCAGCCCCCCATTCTCAATGCTATGAATATTACTGAGAAATTTACTGGTGGCACAGTAAGGTGGCACAGGCAATGTGTCTCTCCTACCATCCCAATAGTTGTTTTTTTTTTTAACAGTGTCGTGGTTTAACTGAGCACCACACAGCCACTCGCTCACTCCCCCCACCCCAGTGGGATGGGGAAGAGAATCGGAAGAGTAAAAGTGAGAACACTTATGGGTTGAGATAAGAACAGTTTAATAATTGAAATTACTATTATTATTATTATTATTAATAATAATGTAATGAAAAGGAAAATAACAAGAAGAGAGAGAAATAAACCCCAAGAAAGACAAGTGATGCAAATGAAGTTTATGTACTGAGCATGACGTCACATGGTATGGAATGTCCCTTGGGCCAGTTTGGGTCAGCTGTCCTGGCTGTGCCCCCTCCCAGCTTCTTGGGCACCCCCAGCCTTCTCAGTCGGTAGAGCATGGGGAGCTGAAAAGTCCTTGACTAGTGTAAGCACTGCTGAGCAACAACTAAAACATCGGTGTGTTATCAGTGTTATTCTCGTACTAAATCCAAACCACAGCACTGTACCACTAGGAAGAAAATTAACTCTATCCCAGCCAAAACCAGGACAAACATGAACTAAAAATTGCAGTTCTTAGAAGGTTTATTATGCTTTTACTATAGCACCACCAGAGATGTTTTCAGCGATACGTATTTTCAGTTTTCGTAAGAACCTGCAGAGACCTGCAATGAATTAGTAAATTACTTGGATTTAAAAAAATTGGAAATACTGTCCTGACAATACTTTAAATTATGTCCAAGCCAGCTTCCACTTGATTGATGGATTAATTGGCAGAAAAACTTATGTAAGATTTAAAAATCATTAATATCTCCCAACCAAGAGCTGTTCCTCCTTTCTCGCTCCTACAAAAAGGTGAAGGGACGTTAACTCACAACAAAGAAAGTTATTATTTCTTTGCAAGAATAATGAATACAGTGAGTCAGAAAATATTCCCTGAGATAAATAAGTATCAATACCCAATCCAGAAGCGTAACAGGGACCTTCTTATCCTTCTGAAAGCAGTATTTGATTAATATGGCTGGAGAAACATCATACAATAAAAACAACGTAAATTCACGTGAAAAATCCTGCAGCTTTAACAAGTGAACAGCTTATATTTAGTCAAAAAGAGATTTTTAGTATTCCTTTTTAGGGTAAATTGCTGTAGAATCACTGAAACAACCGGGACGGCAATAATCTAAACCATCGAGTGGCAATTCCCTTCAAATTTGATTTGTGGAAGGAATGCAAAAGGATGAGAGACAAAAATCTTCCCCCCTCCTCATTGATGCACTCAAGGTTTAAGATAAAGGCCAGGTATACTTTCATAGGAACCTACAATTTTTTGCCACCCAACGGCACACATTTCACGTTCCTGACATCAGAAGCACGAGGTTTACTCTGCGGTAAAAGCATTGCCCCTTTCCAGTCTCAGTTTACCACCACTGCTGCGATCCTCATTACAGCTGCTGGATGGTCCTGATGCATTCGCAGCACCTGCTTGCCTTTCCTATTTTAATGTATTCATAGTTTGTGAAATAAATCACCAGCCACCATCCATCCCCTCAGAAGAGATTTTACTTGATGGTAATTATGCAGCTCCATGAAATCACAGTTTTTAACCAAGAGGTGGGGCGAAAGAAAGGTTGGCCTGAGGTGTGCTAGTCATGACAAAACTTAAACACAGCTGAAGGAAGCTGCTCTTTGGTTGCTAGTTGGACTTGCAGGAATTTGTTTTTTCTGAGCACGAAAAGCTAAGGTGAAATTTCATTATTCTAGGCAGTGTTAGTCTGTTAGCCCAAGCAACATTAATGCTGCATTTGCCAGTAAGAGCATGTCTTCCCACCAGGACACAGATCTTTCAGGGCAGAAAGGTTTTTTATGTGAGACAAAAAATTGCAAGGTGACAGATGACAGCCTTGCTCATTTAAATCACTGGAGGAGCCTTCTAAAAAAAATTATTCAAACACAGCTGAGAAAGATATAGAAAAAAAGAAACAGAGCTACTTTGATCATACCCCTCCACAATAAAGAAAGAGGAATTTTATTTTACTCCTCAGCTCCTGGTTACAATCCACGCTGCTCACGTCCCGCTGGGCTTCTGTCTCCAGCAGGGCAGAGGGATGCCCGGGAACCAGCCCTGGGGCTGCAAGTAACAACAGAAACGATCTTTCTTTTTAATATTTTTCTATTGTTACAATTTTGGCTGAAATGGTAAATTGGTAATGTCTACTTCCTTCTTCTGTAAAATTGCCTTTCATATAAAAATCACAACATGCCCTAATCTACTAATCTGTCAACGAGCCAGACTACTGATCTATCAGAAATCTATCAAAGGTGTGTCATTAATATATATATTTTTAAAGTTAATAACAAATGAACTGTTTTATTTGCCATAGTGAGTTCATACATGTCATAAGAGGAAGGCGGCACATGATTAAAAATACTTCAAGGATACAAAATTCCTTTGGGAATTTTAATGCTACCACAAAAAGAGCAAACTTTAAAGTATCTTTTGTAGAACAATAAACAATTTACTTAAGTTAATGTCTTCAACTTGTTGCAAATACTGTACCATATATAAAAAGATGTGACCTTAGATTTGAGAGTTTGTTTTTTTTTCCTCCTAATATAAAATCCTAAGAGTACTGGGGGAAATAACTTTTTTTGTCCAGTAGAAGGAACACCTAAGTTTTTTAAAAGAAGAAATAATCCTTGGGCTTCAAAGCATTCCCTATTTCTTGATCCCCAGTGTCTCAACCAAAAATTACAGAAACACCAGATTCTGCCATGGATGTATGGCAATTCTTAGTATCCCTAACAATTTAAAATCAGGAATCGTAACTCTCATACATGCCTTGCAAATATTTTTCCATTAATCATCTATTAATCTATGGGAAGCCAAAAACCCAGCCTTTCTCTCAAAATAAAAACAGAAAATACAACATGTTGTCTTTTCATGCCCTGTCCTCGTGTGATACTGCAACTTCCGTGAAACCGGGAGAAGACCCTGCTTACAGCCCAGCTATGGTGCATGCTCCTTACTTAAGTCTGAATGTTGCAGATGTGAAGTTGAGGTGTGTCACAAAGGCTACAGGGGAAGCAGCGACCTAAATAAATACCTTTCAAGTTTCCATAAAAGGAAATGAAATAAAATGATGTGGAAAACCAGTGAGTGAGCCCGGTCTACGGTGACCTCTCCTGCTTACAATGCTGTTCTTCATACGCCGCTACAGTCAGCAGCGCAGACTAATCCTCACCGTTGCCAGCCAAGGAAAACTCTTCCGCTCTGCTGAGAGCCACCAAGAATCCTCTTGCAGCTTGTAAAATGTTTTCTCACATACTTGCTTGGTGTTTGTAAAGAGGTCAAACTGACCATTACATCCTGAAGACACCGTTGCATCATATGAACTAAATACAACC